GCACCCTAATTTTCCACCAAAAAATAAAAAATAATGATAATCAAATTCAATGATGTACTTCACAGCAAAATCAATCGAAACGGTAAACCCTTAAATTCCAGAAAAAGCAAAAAAATTAGGGCATGCCATGCAAAAAATGCAGAGAGAATTACCTTAATGGCGTCCAACTGTTGCTCAGATGCCATTGAAAGAGACAGAAAGATGAGAAATTGAAGTGAAAATGAAGAGAAATTAGGGATTTCAGAATTTCTGGGGATTTAGATTGAAAACGAAGATTGAGGGTTTAGTGAAAAATTTTGGGGGGAATCTAAAGAGGTTGATTCTGCGAGATTTTGCCCCAAAAAACACACTAAAGTTCTCTCTCTCTAAAGTTTTCTCTCTCTTGAGTAAACGAGGGAGTGGCGGGCGCCAAGAAGGCCAGAATTAAGAGTGTATTTTTTTCACCAAGTGAGTAGAGAAGTCAAAGCGACATAAAAAGGCTATTTATTGATCTAGATCTCGCAACTATTCATAGCAAAAAAAATTATGATTCGTTGATGGGATGGTTTGAAAATAAAATTAGGTTACCACGAATCTTTGATGATTGTATGAAAAAACATAAACATATTGATGTGTGATCTTGTTGAATACGGATCGGTATGTAATGTCAAAATATCAATATATATAGGAAAAATTATTAAGAACTACTCGCTTAACAGGTCAAATTGTGAACAACTACTCGCTAAATAATTTTATCAAAAACTACCAAATTTAAAAAGTTTGGGTAACACTATTTTTTTTCATTTTCCTACGAATGGAGCTCAATTGTTATTTTTCCTCTATAGAAACATCATTATAACCCGCCTATTCTTTGCAAATTAAAACTCAATCCAAAAAACCAAATCGTTTTTCCTTCTTTAACAATGCATAGTTGAAGGAACTAAAGGTGGTTTTTCAACGTTTGTAATGCTCATGCTTGCTTCATCTATCTCATTATATCCGTCACTCAAAGTTTGTCATCCTTGTCTCTGGTTTGTTGGTGTCACTCTTGTGGATTTGTTGATCTTGATATTAGTGTTGAAGTATTAGTGTTGAAATATCAAAATTTTAAATGAGTACATATATAAGTAAGAACATGTTGAATACGGAGTATATATAGGCAAGCACCTCAACGATATAATACAAATTCTCCTATGTGACGTGGCCACTTTATCTATTAGGTAATTAATTTAATAATAGGGATTACGATTATGAGCACATAGAATTACTTTCACTTATGTGAGGTTACATCAATAAGAAAATGGGATTACTTTTTAAAATAATTGGAATTATTCTTTCATTAGTTGAAACAAAAGAATAGGCAGTACTCGAATGAACACATGGGGTTACTTATTTCTTTTAATTACTTGATATTACTCATTTATTTGTATAATGAAGTTGGGTTACGTGTATGGACAAAATGGGTTACTCTTATATATAAGGTAACTTGTAGAAATAATTAAAAAAATTACTCTTATAAACCAATGTGGCCAAATTGTGTGGCTAGCCATACCGAATGTACCGGTCATTCTAAAATCTAAAAAAGTTGTCAAGAATAGCACGACCTTTGATCGGTAATCTAAAAACAGAAGATCTTTCGTTTATTCCAAAATAAAATGACCTTTGACAAGCATTTGTTCAACATAAAATCAAAATCGTTAACTTGCTTGTCAATCAATTAAACTGGACTCGTGTCACATTGTGATTGGTTAGAAATATTTTAAGGTGAAAAAACACTCCCATCATACCAACCCCTTTCCCCACGAACCATCGATCATCACCATACCCATTTCCACCCAAGCTTACTCTCCTATATCCCCATCCCGACCTAATCCCCAACTCCTTTCTCTGTCTCTTTGCCTCGTCGGTTGATGCGGGAGTTTTTTGATGATAGGAATACGAGGGGTTTTCGGGGGGATTAGGGTAGGGTTTCGAGGGGGATACGATAGAGGTTTCAGGTGTGGTGGAGCGTGGGGTGAGTTTTTGGGCTAATTGGGGGTTGTGTGTGAGAGAGGGGGGATGTGTATGTGAGAGGGGGGGTTTCAGGTTGATGATAACTGGAAGTGGGAGTCTGTGAAAGGGTGAGGCTGATGAGAGGGTGTTTTATTTTCTATATTCACTAGATTAGTGCTCGTGCGATGTACGGTAGTAATGATCTTTTTTTCCATAAATGATTTGTGATATAATATAAAAATGAGACAACTCATGTAGAATTAACAAAAATGTAATGCATATCAAAATGAAAAATGATAAGGTAAAAATTAATTAAACTACAATTGAGAAAAAACAAATTATATTATTGTTGATTAGTTGTGTTGAAAATACTTTAAAATACTATACATAATATTATATTAATGATGCATGTTACTCCCAATGAAACTATACAGTATAGATGCCATATGGATTTTTATTAATGAATTAATTTAGTTAAAAAAAAAAAATTATACAATATACTTCCAAAAAATAAGCTAAGTAGAATAATTTTCTTAAAAAAAATTTAAAGCTGACATCATATAGAGTATTGGCGGGAATTTTTTAATGATAGCTTGACATATGTCCAAGATAATTGATGTAAGCATGACCTATTTTAGTAATATTTAATAGATTTTTTGAAGGAAAAAAAAGTTACAAGTTGGTAAATTATTACAGAAATATTTAACTGAAAACTAATTCAACTATTATTAGTTCATAAGATTTTAAATCAACGCCACGAGTAGAATTATTATTATTTTTCCATTGAACCCCACTATTGTACAACTATATATATATAATGATAATTTAAATGTTAATATTGTATCTTTTAGCTCCGTTATTTTATACTCTCCACCATATTTCAACCTTTTAAATTATAGCTTATTCTCCCTTGATTAAAAGGTCTCAAAATATTGTGTAACTATTTTAAGTAAATAAAACTCAAAATAAAAAGGAATACAATAATTATAAAAATCTATAAGATTAGGAATAATATTATTATAGTTTTAGTATACAAAAATATTCCAAAAATATAAGATTTTTGCTTAAAAAAAAGGGGGGAGATTTGGAGGGAAAAAACAGCACAAGAAAGTGACATGTATATTTTCTGGTGTATGTTTTAGTATTATGTTATTATTATTATTATTGATGATTGATTTTTTAAAGCGAAAAAAAACTAACGATCACATTGCACATGTGTAACACCTAATAAACAAAATATGAACCAGCGGTCACATTTTATTTTGAGAAGATGTATGTAAAGGTCATTTTTATTTTTGAAAGATCGGCCAAAAGTCGTATACTCTTGATGAATTTTTCAAAAAGTTATTCTTCTAACTATTTTATGTCAAAAAAATTAATAACCTCTTTTTCCCCGTAAAAAAGAGTAAGCATCCAACAAATTCTTATATGCCATGACCCCACCCAAAAATTCGTGAGTTGTCATTATTTTTATTTTTTTTGCTAGCATTTTATGACGTGATAATCTAACCAGAATCACATGTTTAAATGAATTCATTTCGTAAAAAATAACAAAGTAACCACAAAATAAGGCATGTTAACTATTATAATAAAATATATTTTTTTTCTTGGGTCTATCATAATCTAACATTCAAAGTATTTATTTAATGTTATAATACATGCTTTATAAATTTTTATTTTTCCATACTCAACCGAGTCATTTATAATTCCCACAAACCTAACGTACATTATCTTCACTTGAACTTAATGAACTTGATTGTTGCTGACCAACCCTATATTGAGTAATTTCACTATATTTTCATTGATTGAACTTGATCAATCATAAATATACCATAAACTTGTATATTTTTGTAAGGTGAAGAGATCACACTCTACAATTCCTGCTCCTTCTTTTACCATTTTTTTTTTTTTTGTTTTTATGATTACATTTGGTTTATTACGCAGGTTTGATGAAAAAAACCTTGGAAGTATGTAAAATGAGAATATTTATTTTGGGAATAGCTAAATATTTGGCAAATGCAAATAGTTGCTTTGAGAATATATAAATATTTTGATAAATGAAAATAGTTGCATTGAAAGTTGGTAATATATAAGATTGAGTTAGACCCTGTTTAGTTCACCTTATTTTTGCTTATCTGAACTTATCTGATCTGATCTGATCTGATCTTATCTAATCTGGTCTGATTTGATCCGATCTTATTGTCTGATCTGGTCTGATCTTGTTTGATCTTATTTGATCTGATACTATCTGGTCTGATTTGATCTGATCTTATTGTCTGATTTGACCAAACTTCGATCTTAAGTGTACGATAACTTGTAAGGAAAAAATATATCAGTGGGATTTTGTTAGATTCGTAATAATGTGTATTTTATTAATATGTAATTTTCATATTTTTTTTTCATTCATTACAAACTTAAAGATATTTAGCGATAAAAAATTGCACATTAAACGATGATCTAATCTGAACTTATTTTTTCTGATCTTATCTTATCTGAACTTATTCTTTCTAATCTTATCTGAACTTATTTTTTCTAAAATAAGTAAAAATAAGTTGAACTTAACAAAGCCTAAGTGTGAAAAGTAGGCGTAAATGTGTAAAATTAGTATTCTTTTTAAAAGAAGTTGAAAAATGTTACAATAGAAAGAATACGCTCAAAATAGAATATGTAACTTTAGAAAAGTGATGGAGAGAGTAACGATAACAAAAATGGTAAACCAATGTCCAAGGAATATATATCCAATAGAATGGTAGATATTACCTCCGTTTTTTATATACTTCCTCTGTTTTTTTTACTTGACCCGTTTTCCTTATCACGTTTGCCAATGTAAAAGTTTAACGATTAATAAATTTAATTCTCCATAAGTAAAAATTATATATTATGATAATATTTATTGATACGAATTCAAAAAGATCCCACATGAATATGATTTTTCTTATATATTATTCACAATAGACGGTCAAAAGAGGGGTGATGAGTAGTGTAAAAGTCAAAGCGGGTTAAGTAAAAAAGAATGGAAGAAGTAATATTTAAAGAGTATTATTTGTGAGATGTAAGATATTCTTTTGTTGCAAATACGGAGTACTCCGAAATGAGGTAGTAAAACAACTAATTGACCAATGGGATTCAACCACGTGTCAAGCACCCACGTCAGCATTCGCCTTAACAACATTTTCCACTATCCCTAGTCCCTATTTATCTCTCTCACTACCCTCGTTTTTTACTTCTTTTTGTTTTTTTTTTCTCTCCTCACTGCACACAACGCAGAGTCCCAAAGTCACCCCTCCAGCTCTTCACCTTCCACCACCCCTTCAAACCACCGCGTTTCGATCACCAAACACCACCCTACGACGTCGTTTCTACAATGTGAGTCGTCTATTCTCTCTTCTCCTCTTCTATGGCTTCTGATTTCCGATTCTAGGGTTTTCAATTTCTCAAAATTTCCCCTCTTTTAAGTGATCATCTGTAAAATCAACTAATTTTGCTAATGCTGTCATTTTTTTTGGCAATGTTTTTTTATTTTACATCATTAATTTGTGTATTGTTTCCCTAATTTTTTTTAGAGGATTAAAACATGAAGCGTGGAGCTGCTGAAGTCTGTACAGGTTATTTCATTCCCATTTTTCGCATTTTTTTTTCTTTTGTTAAATTTATAGTCCTCAATTTGTGTTGATTGTCCCATTTTTTATTGGTTTTATATTTTGTCTGGGTTTTCATGAAATAAATATCTGTTAACTTTATCTGGGTTTTCATGAAATATTTATCTGTTAAATTTATCTGGGTTTTCATGAAATATTTATAACGGAGGAAGTGGCCAAGTGGGTAATTCCTGAAAAATTGAAAATTCTTTTATTTTTTATGTTTTATTTTTAACATAACATTTTTCGGGGTTTTAGGGATTGACAAGGTTCCATAGATCACCAGTCAAAGCATTATAAATAGTTATTTTGTTGAAATTTCATGAGTGTGTTTCATGTTTTTGTGTTGTTTTATAGAAATAGAATATATACCAATATACATGAGTTTGATGAATATTAAGGCTATATACATAGGTTATTGTGCATACAATTTTCTCAAATGATTTTGCGGACGAAAAGAGGTTTTAGCACATAGTATAAGTTCTTGTATTGATACAGATTTATTAACTAAGGACATTTTTTGGAAGATTTGGTTGATTTATTGTGATGAATGTAAATACATATTTTCTCAAAAAGGTATAAATCTCCATTCTAATTAGACTCAAAAGGTGTTATTTATTCATAGAACCCCATATTATTATTTTTTAAACGTATAGTCGATTCGATGTAATGGATCATTTGAGCGTTTTTGAGATTTGTATGTGTATTTTCTAGTTCTGTGATTGATATGTTTATGTTTGTCTTTCATAATTTTCCAAACTTCCAGCTTGTATTGTTAGTGCTTCTATAAGTTCATGGATATTCCTTGGATGAAACAGATAACTATGCTGCAAGTAGTAAGAAACTGAAGTTTTCTCATGGAGGAGAAAAGCCCACACTCTTTGATTATTCTGATCCATTCACAATTCCAGAACTATTAGATAGCATCAGCTGGGGTAAATATGGAAGTGTTACGAAAGATGTTGAAGCATTGGTTGCGCGAAAGGATCAGATTTTTAATACTCTGTTTACAACAAATCCCGAACTCGAATTTTCATCACCGTATGCAAAATATGATGTAAATGGAGAAGTGGTTAAGGATATTGTTGATTTGGATAGTCTTGAGACAAAATGCATCACTCCAAGATCTGAACCCGTGTTGATAATTGAGTCAGATGATGAGGAAGATGTTGACCGAAAAAACTTCCTTCACTTTCAAGAGATTGCCTTACCCAGGCCTCCACCTACTAACATTGAACTCCATGCAGAGACCTTGCGGGTTAGATTTTTTATATCTCTCTTTGTCCAAGGCTCATATTAAATCAATATAATGTCTTCTCTTTATAATTTGCAATATATTTATTGTATTACCCTTTGTATCACTTATTGCTGATTGTTTGTTCTGCCAGGTCTTTTTTTTGGGATTTCTTCAGTTCTTCCCATGTCAAACCAACTTTTTCTTTCAACTCAAGTTTGCCATATTGTTTTATCACTTGTGTGCTGTTTTGTAAAATGCTCTTAAATTGTTCTCAGTCCTTCATATTGTCAATAGAGATTGTCTTGTCAAATGTTATAGTAACAGTCTTTTGAATTGCAACTGTGACTTTGGTGAAAAAAAATGTGTCATTAAACTGATAAGATTGCATTTTGTTTGCTGTGTGATTAATGAGGCTGTGTTTTGTGTGAATCAAACTGATAAAAGTAAAATGTAATGGAACAGACTGTTGTTCAATCTATTTATGTTCTGCACTGTCAAAGGAAACTCAGGAATCTAAGCTTTGGTGAAAGTTCTTAGCTGAGAATTAACCACTTATTATTGTCATTACATATCCTTGTCTGGCATGCTGAGTATCAATCCGCAGCAAAACAATCAAGACCCTAATTGTACTTTCTCAATATTGGCACGCTGAATGACTTGTGTCAAGACTCAAGAGGCTCAAGAGTTTTTCTAAGTCAATCAGGTTAATATTTTTGCCTGGCTGTGCTGCTGTACCTTTCTTCTAAATCAACCACCATTATTCAATGTTGTATTTTAATGGTTTAAATTTAAGAATAATATAAGCTTCTATAGACTTTTGATGTCAAAACCTGTCCTCCCCATTCTTAATGTGTCTTAAGTTTTTATTTTTTATTTTTTAGTTCTTACTTGTGACGGCTTAGTTTTGTTCACTGCTGGCTGATGCTGCTTGTTATGATTCAATCCTAGCCATTGTGTTTCCTGGTTATTGTTAAATTATCAAATCTGCTTCCCTTGTTTTGATGGGAACTATTGTTATAGCAGGTTGACAATTATGTGGATGTCAAACCTGTCAAAACAACTAAAGTAGAAGAGAAAAAAATCGACAAGGTAAAAGACAAAGGTGTATATGTGGGTATTGAAGACGAGTTAAATGACGATTTAAATGAAGCCGAAGATGAAGAGTTGTCAGACATGTGGAAGGAGATGAATTTTGCGTTAGAGTCTTCCAAGGTATACTGCTGGTTGTATATTGTGATTTTTTCTCGTTGCTCTAACAGATCTACTGCTTGCAATTTTCTGTGATTTTCTTTCCTTATCTTTTCTTTCTATTATCTGTGTTTCTTTACTTCTTATTTTTACTTTTTATTTTTTTGTAAAAATATTTTATGTTATGTTATTTCGTTTAGTTGTTGTTGAGGCATGCTGGGTAGTAATAGACTTTCTTCTTATTTGTATGTTAGTTGTTGTAGCTTAGGCATTGCGGTGATTTAAATTTGAGTCTGTCATTTTTGGATTACTGTGCGTCAGATGTTTGGAATCTGCTTTGATAGCATTAGTTTTTTATTTTTTTTTATCAATTCTTTAAAGAAGCAATGCTCAAATCCCATAAACTTTTAAAGTGTGAACTTTGCATAAGATGGGAACGGAAAATGTTTGGATGATATAAAGTATCTGTTGTATATACTTAATATTCTAAACTACTGTAGGAAAAGGTTGCAAACTTGTGTGAGATGCATTTGCTAGTATCTTGTGAATATGCAAATGGGTGTATGTATATATTTCTTTTTTTTATCTGTTAAATCTCATATTTTTTAACTTCTTGTGCTCTTACCATCTTGTGCCACCCTGATCAGATCCGTTGACTTGTAACTGTATGCTGTAAGCTTTTCACAAGTTAAAGAATATGGATGTTTAATTGTTATTAGAGAACTGATGCTCACTTTTCCTTTTCTTTATTGAAGATGATTGTACACATAAGTAAATATCTCTCTATGGAGAAATCTGGAATATACTGTTCGGAGCAGGCTGAATTAGAAAACAACACTGTTAATTACTTTGATTTATGCAATCCATGTTAAGCTTTTGCCTTAGTTTGCAAATAAAACTGTTTTTGATATTTCTGGTTTGTGTGAGTGGCTGGCTGATCTTTTGTCTTGTTTCAGCATGTTAGTATGCTCCTCGTTGCACTCATCATCATTTAGACCTTTCCTTCTGTTTGTGCTTTTTATTTACTTTTGTACAGCATATTGACTATTGCTGTTTAGTATATCAAACCTTTAGTTGTAATCCACTTTAATGAATTTCTGATCCCTATTTAGTCTTATCATCATGGAATATGGTGAAACTTTCTTTTCCTTATAAAGAACTATTTGATTTGTTATTTATGTCACTTTGTAGGATGTTCCAGCTGATCAATCAGGTGATGAGCAATCGGTGGAAGAAGATGAGGGCTGTGATCATTCATATGTCCTCAAAGATGATATTGGCTATGTGTGCCGAGTATGCGGAGTCATTCAGAGGGCTATCGAGACTATATTTGATTTCCAGTACATAAAGGTTTCAAATAGTTCTTTAATGTTTTTTTCATTTCTAATCACTTATATATCTATATGAAGCTAGATCTTTATTGTTTGATGTATGGATATGACTATGAGTCTGATTTTGTCCTTGATTTACTCAAGCTGTTACTTCACTGGACACTTTTGTGGTTATTTGATCAGATTTAGTTTGTTGGGCACTCAACAAGAACTTTGATTTTGATGATCTAGTCCATTAAACGTGTGTCTATAATTCAAATATTGCCTGCTTCTAGTTAAAACGAAAATTGAGTTAAAGGAAGAGTATTCTATCTGTAATTTGTTTATCTATAGTTTTTGGGATGTAGAGATTTAGTTATAGTAACATTAGTAAGCCAAAAATTCTTTTGGAGTTTCTCATTAGTCCCTTGGGGAAATATCTGAGAGATAATTTTGTAATTCCTTGGTCAGATAGGTTGGTGATTATGTATTGACTAGAAACACTTTCAATTCTTAAGTTTAAGTGTATTTAGCAGTATTCAATTGCATTTTATAATTGGTTAAATTGTAGAACAGAACATTATGTCATCCTACAGTTCTACAAATTCTTGTTTTGGCTGAAGATATGTGATTGTTAGAATCCTACACTCAGATCGTGACACATATAGTAATAATCATGGTATCTATCTTGACTATCTACACCTCTACAGTCTTAAAGTTTACTTGATCAATTTGCAGTCTACTTGAATTTTTCTGTGCGGATGTTACTTGGATGGATTAAGTATCTGTGGTTGTTAACTGTATATGACATTTTGACATAGGCATGGAGGCACTTATTTTGAAACTTTCAGTTTATGCTAATGCAAAGCCTGACACCTGGCTGGACACATACCTGTGTCAGACGAAATATATCTATGATAACTGATCAATTCCTTTTTTGATTTTATATTAAAACATTTTACAGCTCTGTGGTGTCTGTCAGTATCAATATAATCATATTGGCTTCTGTTGTCTGGATTGGTGTTCTGCTAAAAGTTCTTATGCCTTGTACTTATGAATTGATGCCATTTGCTTTTCATGACACTCATCTAAACTTTTCTTTACATCAGGCTGCTCGGGTGAGAAGTTACAGGTCTGATTCTCGTTCTAACAGAGAGAATGATGACACCGACTTCCATCTGGATGGGATTAAGCTGCCTGGACATGATTTGGCCGTGACTGAAATCTCTGCTCATCCTAGGCATAAAAAGCAAATGAAGCCTCACCAGTCAGAGGGATTTAACTTCTTATTGAGCAACTTAATGACTGAAAATCCTGGTGGTTGCATCTTGGCTCACGCTCCTGGCTCTGGAAAGACTTTTATGATCATCAGTTTCATGCAAAGTTTTCTAGCCCAATATCCAGATGCTAGGCCATTGGTGGTGCTTCCCAAGGGAATTCTCCCTACTTGGAAAAAGGAGTTTCAAAGATGGCAAGTGGAGGACATTCCTCTACTTGATTTCTACTCCATGAAAGCTGAAAATAGGTTTCAACAGAAGGAAGTTCTTAGACAGTGGGTAGAGCAGAGGAGCATACTTTTTCTGGGTTATAAGCAGTTCTCGACTATTGTTACTGGTGACAGCTCATGCAAGGCAACTGCTTATTGCCAAGAGGTACTGCTGAAGCGCCCTAGCATCCTTATCTTGGATGAAGGTCATACTCCTAGGAATGAGAACACTGACGTGCTGCATTCACTTGCTAAAGTTCAAACTCCTAGGAAGGTAGTGCTATCTGGCACACTCTATCAAAATCATGTCAAAGAGGTTTTCACCATCTTAAACCTTGTCCGTCCAAAATTTTTGAAGCTTGACGATTCCAGGAGCATAAAGAAACGTATCATGAGTAGAGTGCAATTTCATGGGTTTAAGAAGCAGTTGAAAGGAGGGAATGTTGAGAGCAATTTTTTTGATCTTGTTGAATACACCCTTCAGCAGGATGAAGACTGGAAAAGAAAGGAGGCTGTCATCAAAGATCTGAGGGAGATGACAAGCAAGGTATTGCACTACTACAGGGGTGACTTCTTGGATGATCTTCCTGGACTTGTAGACTTCACTGTTCTTCTCAGTCTGAGCCCTCAACAGAAAATTGAAGTTGATAAGCTGAATAAGAGGGAAAAAACAAAATTCAGGAAAACCTCATTGGGCTGTGCAGTCTACACTCACCCAAAGCTCAAACTTTTTTCAGACAATAATCCTGGTTCTGAAAAACGTTCATTGCAATATGATGCCAAGATTGACGAGCTGGTCGAAAGGATAGACATTAGAGAAGGAGTCAAGGCTAAATTTTTTTTGAATATGCTGGGTTTGTGTGAAAGTAATGGAGAAAAGCTACTGGTGTTTAGCCAGTATTTGCTGCCTTTAAATTTTCTGGAACGGTTAGCTGTCCATAGGAAGGGGTGGTCTGTTGGTAAAGAGATATTCATGATTTGTGGCGATACATCTACTGAGCTGCGAGAATCACATATGGAACAGTTCAATAACTCCCCTGATGCACGGGTCTTCTTCGGATCAATCAAAGCTTGTGGAGAAGGAATATCTCTTGTGGGTGCCTCCCGGATTATAGTCCTGGATGTCCATCTGAATCCGTCTGTGTCGCGCCAAGCAATAGGGCGTGCATTTCGCCCTGGTCAGGAGAAAAAAGTTTATGTTTACCGACTGATTGCTGCTGACTCCCCTGAAGAGGAAGACCATCTTACGTGTTTCAAGAAGGAACAAATTGCAAAAAGGTGGTTTGAGTGGAATGAATACCGTGGAACGCAAGATTTTAATATAGAGCCAGTTGATCTAAAGGACTGTGGTGATTTATTCTTGGAGAGTCGGTCGCTAGCTGAGGATGTTAAGGCTTTGCACCGAAGGTAAGTTCAACTTTCTGTTCTTGTATCTACTTTATTTACTACTATGTCACTTATGATTTACACGGTTACGCCATTTGTCCCTTTATATTTTAGGTATTCATAATATGAATGCCCTAAACTGTTTCTCACACTCCTTTTTTTGTAGTATAATAAAACATCTATTTCTAATGCAACATAAATTATGGGCACAAATATCATCTAGTGCTGTTATTTATTTATTTATTTGTTTAATTATTTATTTAATATCTTCCTTTAAATGCCACTTGTTTCTATATCAATCTTTTACATTTTAACCATTGCATTCTAGAGTGTGCCCCATTTATATGATAGATTTATAGCTTTAATATTTGTGCCACACCAAAAAAATTTAGGGGCGAAAGGAAGAACTTATGCAAATTTTACTTGTGTGTTGTAGGTAAATTATCAGTGGTTGTAGAAGGAGATGCCTGATGATGCTTAACCTTTGCTAAATGCACAGTTTTAGTTTTTAAGCAAAACAAGTCTGTACACAGGGAGAATGAGCTTTTGAAGTTGGAACTATGATTTTGGTGACAGTTGTATATATTAATGACCGTTGCTGCAAAGTTGGAACTATGATTAGGTGTTATAGTTACTGCAGTGCTGAAGTTTGTTGTAATGCAATCCAGCATTTTGGTGTATGCACTTTCTGAATGTTGATCTGTATATTTTTAGATGAACCTGTTTCTAAGCTTCACTTTGCAGCATTGATTTTCTTTCGAATTGCCATCCGTCATTTGCAGAGTCAAATTCAAGCATACACTAATGGATAATCAAGCTATAAACTACAAGAATCATACAATGATTACACTCTTGAATAATATTTTGAAGCATACAACATAACTGGTTTTTTTTTTTTTTTTTCTCTTTACGGTAAGGAGGACCTGACCGAACCTCAATCCTCACGGTTTTTTTTGGCCCGGTATTCGCAGGTCAGACACTTTGAGAGTGAGGGGGGAAGGGTAAGGGATTCCCACCCTCAAAGTGCCTCTAGTGGGGTTTGAGCCTCCAACCTCAAGGTTGGAAGGTACAATCTTTCCCACTAGACCAAACTTAACTTGGTGTACAACATAACTGTGTTTGGTTGGGATGAAAATAATTTCCAAAGATTCATTTATCTGTATTTAGTTTATTCAGTGTAAGGGTACTTTCTTTTGTTCAATGTGTTATATTACTTGTTTTTGGATTATACACACATAAATAGTTAATTTAGGCTAGGTATGTATATATATATATATATATATATATATATATATATATATATATATATATATATATATATATAGTTAGAAGTTTCTTAAAGTGAGAAGGGTTAAATGTGCATATATTTTTAACTAAAATATGTATAAATTTTATCCTAAATGTGCATAATTTATTTTTGACATGCTACTTTTTTTCAAGTTTCGGGGGGAAAACTAAAATTTATGCATCATGCACAAAAAATTTGCACATTGAATTTTGGTCATTTTTTTTTCTCATTTTATTCAAAAAATATGCATGTTTAGTGGAAAAATTATGCACATTAAATCCTTCCTATCCTTCTCATTTTAAGAAACTTCCCATTTGACCCTTAAGTGAGAATCCAAACTTATGTGAGAATAATTCTAGACCTTTGAATTTTTTAAATCTAAAGGTTGTGATTATTCCCAAAAAAATCAAAACCAAAAGAGTATTTTAAACCAACTCCCTTATTTCTCTCTCCTCACCTTCTCTTTCTCTCTCATCTCACCTATTGTTCAGTATACATCATCAACTTCACGCCATTAATTTCAAAGAAATTAAGCTCAAATTCTAATCAACCACGACGTCTTTGTACTGTGCTCAAATCACCATCGTCTTTGCGCCATAAAAAACAAGGAAATTAAGCTCGAATTCAGGTCAATAATTACGTCTTTGAGCTCCAATCGGCGACGATTATATTCGCCATCAACATCATTGTTATTAATTTTGCAACATCAATAACAAAGAAATCAAGCTCAAAATTCGGACCAATTATGTCATTTTCAAGCTCCATTCAACAACGGTTATGGTCGCGCGTTTCGGTGAAATTGAAAGATTTTGGCGATCGAAAATGAGTTTAATGAGTTTGTGTTATGTGATGATAGTATGGAGCAATTTCTGAGATTCTAATACAAGTTTGTTCATTTTCATTTATGCATTTTTATTGTATGTGTTTTTGCTCATTTTAATTTAGTTTGTTCATTTTATTTCACTTTGCTCATTTGTGAAGGATATGAGCAGAACAACATGTATTAAATTAACTTTGTGAACTATGTACTTCAAAAATAGGCAGAAAATGAAGTGCATAATATAAACTAGTATACGGTTGGTCTCTTATGGTCCAACAATTGTTTATATTTTCAGATATAGTAAGTAAGTTCAAGGTTTCATATTAGTTTGAATGTTTTAGAATTGTTGCTCATTTGATAAATGAACAAAGAATAGTACCTCATTTGATAAATGAGCAAACAAAACAAAGAAATATTGTTTGCTCGTTTATTAAATGAACAAAGAATTATTGCTCATTTATCAAATGAGCACATATTATTTGCTCATTTATCAAATGAACAAATAAATGTTGCTCATTTGATAAATGAGAAAATAACAAAAACAAAAAAACAAAAAAAAAAAAATAAAAAAATTCTCATTTGATAAATGAACAAAGAACTGTTGCTCATTTGATAAATGAGTAAAAATTTATTGCTCAAAATGAGTCAAAAAAAAATGTAAATTACGTTTTTGCCATTACTATGTGAACAATCTTAACAGTTGGATCATAAGGTATCCAACAGTTGGTATTGATGTGAATAAAATTAATTAGTGAGATTGTTTGGTTCAATTTTATCCTATGCATGCAATTTATTTGTTCCTCTATGTTTTCCATAAGAAAATATATAAATAATAATGAGTATATATTAGCACAATACCAAAATGTAATTAAAAACTAATCAACTTTCAAATTGTTTATCAGAATTATTCAAACCAATGTATCATCTGTTCATTGGTACATTACTTTCATTTCAAGTTCATCATCTTCACAAACATAAATTCCTTCCATAATTCATTACTCGATTTTTGGCCTAATCTCAATTCCTTCAACAACTAAACTGCCTTTAGTAATCCCAGCCTTAATCTCATTAGCGAGAACTTCACTTCTTCATCTTCTTCCCTAGTATAAAACTCCCCAATTTCGACCTCAACCCACCCATCTATCCTCTTCTTCGGAAATTTAACATTCTCTCCTGGCCCCTTACCACCTCCACAACGTGGGTCTAAATAGGCCATCACGGTCACCACTTCGCCTCCTGAAGTTCGACAGTAACCTCTATGGGAAAATCATAGAAATTCCATATACTACTACTTGCAACATCAAACACAAGGTATGCAACATACTTGGTGTTTGGAGATAGCATCGACGTTGTGATTCCACCTTTTATTTCAAACCTTTTGATATAACATAAATAAGGCAACATGATCAACTAGTAGTAGTGAAAGATAACAAGTCGGAATGTAACATTAACAATTAAAGAGATCGAATACAAGTGAAACGAACCTCGATCTAGGCACGAAATCCTGCACAAGCAAATGCCAGTAACTTGGTCTGTCACCCCATGTTATGTCTAGCTTCCTTGCCAAAAGTGTGTAACACTTTTTGCTAGTTGATTTTTCCAGCGAAAATTTCTGATGAAGAGTTTAGATTTTTGGTTGTTACATAGTCACAACAAAAACGCATCAAACAATCAAATTTAACAAGCAACGATGAACTGTATAGCTACTATTAGTGTGATATCAGTGCAAAAGAATGCGTCATATAAAACTCTTAAGTCTTATACTTCCTTTGTTTCTTAATACATGCAACATGTACTAAAAAAACATTAGGAATCTCAAAAATGATTCTTAGTTATTAGGAATTTCTTATAGACAATAGGCTGGAAATCTAAACCCTTTCACAATTATTAAGGAAATGCAATGGGGATTCTAAAATTAATATTTTGCTAATGTAGAAGCCATGCATAGATCGAGTGCATGTATATATAACTATATAAGTAATATAACTAGATGCAGAGTTAAGATTATTAAATTGGTAAAGGACTAATTAATTGACAACACAATCTTATATTTTTTTGTTTTAGAAATAATGGTGGAACATGTGACACATAAGCCCTTTACTAGATCTACGTACATAAATGTGAATTTTATTTTTTTCGAAAAGAACATATATACGGTATAATAAAGTGTAATATACATAGTATTTTGTACAATCCTAGGGTACCATGCTTTGAATTACGTAAGCTACCAACATTACCATACTTGTCAATGCATAAAAATATGGTATTATTAAACTTCAATTCACATTAATATCTAGTATTTAATAACATATTGCACATGATACAAAATTTTTTTCATACAAAACTCGAAAATTATAATCAAATTTAGTATATGAAATTGAAAAAAAAATCCAAATTATAGAACGGTGGGAGTATATGTACACACTTACTTTACTTTGAACATACGATTGTGATTAAAATTCTTACAAATTATCTATTCTAGTTAGTTATAGAGTATCTAGGTACGGATAGTTAGTACGCCGCCTATGCCCCTGGACGACTGGTTGTCTGTTTCCAGGATAGACGATCAGTCGGCCATTTATCCAATCAGTATTCAAACTATTTTGTCTGGATCCTTTTTAGGCAGGCGGTCCTGTCATTTGTAAATTTAACCAAGTAGGAAAGTGGTCTGACCAAGTAAATAGAGTATTACCTAGTCGCCAAGGAACTGAGTAGTAGAGATAACAAGCGGCGGGTACCGGTTGTTTCCCTTTATTGCCAATGTTTGTTGGCTTTTAACTCATAATTTGTTAACCTAGCAAGAGTAGTGGTTGAGAGCCCCTGTTTGTTAAAAACAGGCGGACGACTCATACCTTTTAGGCTCCATACTAAGTTTGAGTGACTATTAAGTTAACATAGGAGTTACTTAGTCTTCGTCACAATCTAGATTGAGTAGTAGAGGTACCAGGCGGCGGAGGCCGGCTGATCCCCTTGATTTGCCAATGTTTGTTGGCTATTAACTCAATAGGTACCCCCTGCATTTATCCCAAGTAATACAGGCGGTCATCTGACTCAGATGTCAACTGCTACCACTGGTTTGGTTAGTGATAGAGTTATCCTTGTCTCAAAAACGGCTACGTGGTTGCCCTTGGGGACAGTCGTATAGGTGCCGTGTAATTAGTTTATAAAACAATGTTCCACCCAAAAGGGAGCTGCTCTCTGCGACGAATTTCATCCGGAGGGATGCCGTCGGACGCCTGCTATGATGTTGGGACAGGTCGTATTAGTTTTGTAGATTTGATCAGTTGGCTTGGCGCCTGGTCTGATCATTCGGCCTGTGGCCTTGGTAAGTTCTTGGTGAATGTAGGTGCTAAGTAAAAGGAGGGTAGCCGCCTGTTTGGCACAGGGTCGGCCAGGCCCTAATCTTTTTAGCTAAGTATTAGGGGGGTGGCTATGTGTTTGGAACCAGTCGGCCATCTTCTTATGGAGAGTAGCCGACTATATGCCCAGACGACATGCCCCTATTGTGAGTAGAATACTCAATGGAGAGTAGCCGACTGTAAAGGTACAGACGGCATGCCCCTCGTAAGTAAACTTAAACATGGAGAGTAGCCGACTATTTGTTAGTAGGCGTGCCCCTCTTAGTACAAATTTGA